ATTTTGAATTACATATGGGGGGGCACCATAATCTTTTTAGTGCTTAGGGCCTCTGAAGGTCTTAATCCAGCCCTGTCCAGAACCCACCTATGTTGGGACCCTACCACTCTGCTCTCCCTAGGCAGATGCCATATCCCCCAGCCCACTCCAGAACCCACCTCACCTTCTGGGCATCCTTTATCCTGCTTTCCTAATGTGGGAGCCAGCTCCCTCTTGAGCCCATCACCCTGCACTCCCCAGGCGAATGGACATGGTCAGCTCCCAGACAGATGCAGTAGGCAATGCAGTATGGCAGGGGTCTCCAAACTACGGCCCGCGGGCCGGATGCGGCCCGCGAGGCCCTCTCATCCGGCCCGTGGAGACCTTTTTTTCCTAATGTCAAAACTTTTGCATCAAGGTACCTGTGACGGGGCAGAACCGCCCCGCCACTCGCAAGCGGTAGCTGGTACCGCGGGAGAGAGGGGCGCAGACGCCGCAGCGCCGGAGGACGCGAGGAACGGGGACGGGGAGGCCGTGGCGCGTCATCACGGCGCGCCCGGGAGCGTGGCGGGTGACGTCACGGGCGCGACAACGGAGGGGGGAGGGGGGAACCCGGAAGTGCAGGGGAGCAGAAAAGGACCGGGACGAGAGTGGCAAGGGGGGAAGCAAGGAGGAGGAGAGGCGAGCCACGGGCAGAGAAGCCCCGAGAGGAGCGACCCCGGACGGGAAGGTGGAGAGCGGAGCAACCCGGTAAGCGGGGCAGCGGCCGGCGGAGTGGAGTAGGACCCAGGGCGGGTCGTGTATCCCGGGAGCAGGTGCGTTTGGGGTGCTAGCCCCCCTGCTACCACCGAGAGGTACGCTCTCGGTGTTAGGGCCCTGGGTCGGGGTCCGGAGTGAGGGCGGGCCCGGACCCCCCACTCCGCCGAGGAGGTGCGAAAGTAAGCGGTGCATTGTGCACGACTGGATGACTATTAGACCGGGGGGGGCGGCGGACGGTGCTGCACCCCGTGACAGTCAGGGACTCATTATCGTGGGTTGTGGCACAATCCCAGAAATATGCTAATGGGTATTCCCTTCAAGGGCCTGAAGCCCACCGTGCAACTCACCACAGATGCATCCTTACTCGGCTGGGGAGCCCACTTACAAAACCATCGTGCTTAGGGTCTGTGGGTGCCTCAGGAGTCCCTGCAGCACATAAACTTCTTCGAATTGCAGGCAGTATTCAACGCGTGCAAACACTTTCTGCATATAATACGCGATCTTACAGTACAGATCCTCACTGACAACACATGCACTGTTTATTATCTCAACTGGCAAGGCAGCACTCAATATTGATCCCTCTGCTCGGAATCCATCCGGTTGTGGAACTGGGCTATCCGACACGGGATCATCCTTACCGCGACATACCTTCCCGGCAAAGACAACACCATTGCCAATACCCTCAGCAGGCCCAGGTGAGGCTACACGACAGGAGCCAGGGCGGGGAGTTACGAGTAGCAGTGACTCACCGACTGAGGTCGTCTGCGACCTCTTCCTACGCTGGAGATTCCCCAGTATAGACCTCTTCGCCACCCATCACAACAAAAAGTATCATCATTATTGCTTGTGGGCGGGCATAAGCACAGCTTCCCAAGGGGACACCTTTCTACTCAACTGGAGTCATCACTGTCTGCTGTATGCCTTTCCCCCACTTCCATTCATCCCGCGAGTACTGGAGAAAATAGCAATGGACAGTGCCACAGTGATATTGATAGCACTGTTTTGGCCCCGACAGACATGGCTACTGCTGCTATCACAAATGTCTTTGTCCCAACCATGACGACTACTGAATCTATACACCTTACTGTCTCCACAGTGGAATACAGTAATCCACCCGCACATCGATCTCATGCACCTCACCGCATGGCTCCTAGTTGGCTCCAAAGTCCAGAAATGATTTGTTCCCAGGCTGTAAAGCACGTGCTCATACACAGCAGACACCACACTACTTGAACGACTTACCTTCACAAATGGCATTGGTTCCAGTCATGGTGTTCAGCGATAGGCTTCAATCCTCTTTCCCTGCCTATTCAGCAAATACTCGATTATATCCTACAGCTAAAGACAGCAGGCCTGGCGATATCTTCCCTCAGGGTTCACGTGGCAGCAATTTTGGCCTTTCGACCTCCCATCGATGACCACTCAGTAGTCGCTCACCCATTAACCAAAAGATTTTTAAAGGGTCTAGCGAATCTATATCCCCCTCACAGTGTTCCTCTGGAACCGTGGGACTTAGGTCTGGTCCTGGACACTTTGACTTGCCCCCCCTTCGAGCTATTCATGACATATGATCTCCAAACGCTCACTATGAAGGTGGCGTTCTTGCTTGTCATAACCTCGGCACGATGGGTGGGTGAACTAGCAGCACTCTCTGCTGATCCTCTGTACACATTATTCACCAAGTACAGAGTAATGCTTCGCGTTCACCTTCCCTTTTTACCAAAGGGGAACTTGATCTTTCATATAAACAAACCCATAAGCCTACCAGTCTTCTATCCGAAACCTCATTCCACCATTGAAGAGATGCGTTTACATACACTGGACATCAGAAGAGCGCTTACATTTTACCTCGAAAGAACACGCGTCTTCCGAAAATCGCAGCGCATTCTGTTATCTATAGCAGAACATTCAAAAGGCCAACAGCTATCCGCACAGCACATTTCCAACCTTATTGTGTCTTGCATCACACGATGTTACTCCTTGCACAATAGACCGTTACCGCACAGACCGAGGATCCATTCCACAAGAGGGATGGCAACCTCCGCAGCCTTTCTTAAGGGCGTACCACTACAAGACATATGCCTGGTCCTCTACTCTGACCTTTGCCAGGCACTACGCCCTTACAAATATACTGAGAAATGATTCTGCAGTGGCCCAGGCAGTCCTATCCACAGCACAGAGACCATGAGTCTGAAGCACATCAATAGCACGGGACCACTGCTATGTACTCACCTTCAGTGGAGCACCCAAGGGGACACTACTTGACGAAGAGAGAGTTACTCACCTGGTGCAGTAGTGTCTGTTCTTTGAGATGTGTCCCCCCGTGGGTGCTTCACCGAATGGCTAAGTAACATTTTTCATCAGCAGCAGCCCTCCTCCCTGCTTCAGAGCTAGTGTCTTTATCTTTGTCAGATGCTCCTGGCTTAGGAGGAACTGGTGGGGCTGGACTACGCTCCACGAAAGGGCGTGAATAGCACAAGGCAGGTCCGGCAGGGCTACTGCTGATGAAAAATATTACTTTGCCATTTGGTCCCCAGCCTGTACCAATGCTTGGGAATCTTCCGCCCCAAGTGCAGGACTCTGCACTTGTCCTTGTTGAACCTCATCAGATTTCTCTTGGCCCAATCCTCTAATCTGTCCAGGTCACTTTGGACCCTTCCCTGCCCTCCAGCGTATCTACCTCTCCCCCTCACTTAGTGTTATCTGTGAACTTTCTGAGGGTACAATCCATCCCCTCATCCAGGTCATTAATAAAGATGTTGAACAAAACCGGTCCTAGAACAGATCCTTGGGGCACTCCGCTAGAAACCGACCGCCGACCTGACATTGAGCTGTTGATCAATACTTGTTGGGCCCAACAGTCTAGCTGGCTTTCTATCCATTCATATTCCCTTAACTTGCTGGCAAGAATATTGTGGGAGACGGTATCAAAAGCTTTGCTAAAGTCAAGATATATCACATCCACTGACTTTCCCATATCTACAGAGCCAGTTACCTCCTCATAGAAGCTAATCAGATTGGTCAGGCACGACTTGCCCTTCATGAATCCATGTTGCCTATTCCTGATCACTTTCCCCTTTTCCAAGTGCTTCAAAATGGATTTCTTAAGGATCCCTTCCATGATTTTTCTGGGGACTGAGGTACGGCTCACTGCTCTGTAGTTCCCTGGATTGTCTGTCTTCTCTTTTTTGAAGATGGGCACTACATTTGCCTTTTTCCAATCATCCAGGATCTCTCCCGATCTCCACGAGTTTTCAAAGATAATGGCCAAAGGCTTCGCAGTGACATTTGACAACTCCCTCAGTACCCTCGTGTGACAGCGCGTTGGGTTTTTCCCGTCTCCCGCACCCCCGAAATGGCACGAACAGACTCCACCAGCCAGTAGAATAGAGGGAGTGTATTGCTTCTCCAGGATACAGCACAGACGTAATCCGGTTACAGGAACTGGGGCTAGGAGGCCTCAGTGCCCCCCCTTGAGATGGGGGGTGGCTGGGCCCCTAAATCCCAGGGCCCTCCCTAGCCCCTTCTCCCCTGCTTCCCAGACAGAAACTAACTCACTCTCTTCCAGCCCTGCCCCCCAGCCAGGGGCGGCATTCCACCTTCCTCTGTTTCTCTCCCGGGGGGGTAGCTGGTCAGATAGGTTTGGAGCCCCCTTTGCATAATGACTCGTCCCCTGCCCTGCTGGGTCGTGCTACAGACAGCAGAGGTCGCCCACAGCCCCAGCAAGGTACCCCCACTACGTCACACCTCGGATGCATTAAATCCGGACCCATGGATTGGTGTACATTTAGCTTTTCTAAATAGCTCCTAACTTGTTCTTTCCCCACCAAGGGCTGTTTACCTCCTTCCCATACTGCGTTGTCTAGTGCATTTGTCTGGGAGCTGACCATGTCTGTGAAGACAGAGGCAAAGAACGCATGGAGTACTTCAGCTTTTCCTACATCGTCTGTCACTGGCTTACCTCCCTCATCCAGTAAAGGCTCCACACCCTCTCTGGTCACCCTCTTATTGCTAACATGCTTGTAGAAACCTTTCTTGTTACCCTTCACATCCCTTGCGAGTTGCAATTCCAATTTTGCTTTCCCCTTCCTGATAACTCCCCTGCATTCTCCTACTTGACAAAGAACAGAGTTACTCACGTGGTGTAGTAACGTCTGTTCTTTGAGATTTGTGTCCCCGTGGGTGCTCCATGACCCGCCCTCCTGCCTGCTTCAGAGCTAGTGTCTTTATCTTTTTCAGGTGCTCCCAGCTTAGGAGGAACTGGCGGGGCTGGACCGTGCTCCATGAAAGAGCGCAAATGGTGTGAGGCAACAAGCGCACATGTGCGGTTTGGTAGGGCCACTGCTGATGAAAAATCTCCGACTTGCGGCACTGGGATAAGCCCAACACCTTCAGTGGAGCACCCACGGGGACACTCATCTCGAAGAACAGACATTACTGCACCAGGTGAGTAACTTACTCTTCACAAGGAGTAAGGAAAGTCAAAGAGTGTTCTTTCTTTAATTTCCTTCTGTGTAGACAGCGCCAAAAGCCGAGTTAAGCTATTTTGATTTAATTGATATAGCTGAAGTTGCGCAGCTTAATTCAACTTTAGCCCTGCTGTGTAGATGTACCCTTAGTCTCCTTGTGCCTCAATTCCCCAAAAATCAGGATAATAGCACTTCCCTACCTCACAGAGGTGTTGTGAAGATGAATTCATTAAAGCTTGTAAGGTGTTCAGCTACTGTGGTTGTGGGGGTCACAGATAGTTATGAAGAAGCTGAGCAAGGGTAACTAACAGTTTTAATTACTCATTATTCCCCTAAATGATTACTACAATATTTTAAACCAATCATGTAAAATTGTCATGGAAATATGCTATCCAAGGCACAAGTATACTTGCTTTCCCTTTACTCTGATAATAAAAATGCTAATGATACTTGATTTAAAAAAATACCCCATAGGAGTAGGATTTTGCAAGGCTGTTTTAAACTTTCCTCCATGTCCAGCTATATGAACGTGACTCAGCTACTAAAGAGGCATCTAAATAGAGAGGCTTCTTTTGTGCTTTTTATTCACAAAATCCCAGTCCCAAAAAGCAAAGAAACACTCCTGGGCTTTTCTACATATTCTTTCTTTGATCTGAAGAATGTTAACAATAAAACATGTTTGGGTGAATCATAAATGCGATTTATTTCAGAGTCACAATGTAGTTTGATTTATTTCAGGAACTCCGCTAATGGTTCAATATGATAATACTGTATATAATTGAAACATAATGGCATATAATCATTCTGTATTTTCCCCTTTACTCATTCTTTCATAAATGTATAGTGGGAAAACAATATTTCCTGTGCCATTTCCACCTTTAGGAAAATCAAAGACCTAAGACTATAAAATAACATTTGAAAATAGCACGTGAAACAATTTTATCTACTATGTCTAATAAGCATGTGTGTTGCCTAGAGTCACTATAGGGGAAGGGAGGCTCTTCTCTTTACCCTCTCCAATTTATGAACATCCTTGAATTGTGGGCACCAGAACTGGACTCAGTATTCCAGCAGCAGTAGCACCAGTGCCAAATGTGTTGCTAAAATTATCTCTCTACTTCTATTTAAGAATGTGTTGTGTATGCATCTCAGGATCACATTGGGATGCATGTTTAGCTGATTTTCCACCAGAATCTTTTTCAGAGTCACTTTGGGTGTGTCTAGACTACAGGGTTTTTTTTTTAAAAAAGTGGCCTTTTTTCAAAAAAACTAAATCGAAAGAACGCGGCAGTTCTTTTTGACCACAGTAAACCTGATTTTATGAGGAAGAACACCTTTTTTCGAAAGTGCTCTTTCAAAAAAAGGCATTCTTCAATGCAAACAGGGATTTTTCGAAAGAGAGCATCCAGATTGCTTGGATGCTCTCTTTCGAAAAAGCGGCTTGCTTTTTCAAAAGAAGTGGTCTATGATGTTTTATATTTTCTTCCAGACAATGTTAAATAGCTTAGGACCAAGAACCAATCCTTGTAGAATTTCACTGGAAACACCTGCTTGACAATGATTCTCCTTTTACATTTGAGACCTATTCATAAGCCAATTTTTAATCCATTTAATACGTGCCATGTTAATTTTATATTCTGTCTTTTTAATCAAAAGAAATGGAGCCTATTATTTTAATATAACCCTCCAGGGGACAGAAACATTATCAAACTTTCTGCCAATTTTCACAAAAGTTCATTTTGGCTAAAATTAGTTCAGTTTCTAGATATTTCCATGAGACTCGTTTTTAATTGTTATAGCCAAATGTTTGTTCTCAGGCCACATTCACATGATTGATATTTCTATTGACTTTGGTGAAGAGAATCTGGATTAAACAGGTGCCTATGAAAACAAATACACCCATTGTGCCACCTGTTAGTTCTTAATTTCTTGTTTTACTAGTTTAGCAACAATTACATACACTGTCCTATCTAGTGGGTGGTGATTTCTGGATTAGAAACCCAGTCATACTCAGAAGCAGAAGTGGTTACAGCAACAGCAAGCCTCTCTAACACCATTGGGTCACAGAGTATAACAGGGAAGTGAAAGTGCATAGAGGCAGAGAACCCACACAAATTATGTGACATAGTGTATTGGTGAAACCATATTATTGGCTTTTGCTGAAGTGAAGAAGAAACTCTGAACAGAAAAATTGTGCTCACTGTCATCTTTCTGGTGTCAGAGCTTGTTTCCCAGCTAACCTACTTTTCTTAGATAATGCAGAATAGTAATAACAGTGGTTGAATGAAAAAGATGTGTACTTTTGGTATTACCAGTATTTGCTGACAGTGTATAAGGAAAGAACACTGCCCCGCAAAGAATGCAGGTAATGTTGTACCTACAAGTGAGATGGTGAAAAAGTTGGCAACTATTATCTTCAAATTCCCAAACTATATTTTTTATATTTTAAATTATTGGAATAAAGGGGCACTTTAACAACCTATACCTCTGTTGGAAAAATATGACAAAACCCACAAAATTTCCAATACATTCTTGGATTGTACTGGGGACAACTTTTTTGTTTCAGAAAGTTGAGGATGTAACCACGGGAAATCATTTTAGACTTGATTCTAACAGAGAGATATTGTTTGGAAATTGAAGATGGAAGACAAATTTGGTGAAAGTGGTCTTGACGTGATAGATTTCATTTTTCGTAGAAGAGGAAGACATGATGGCAGTACAATAATCTGGAGAAAAGCTAATGTGATGCCATTTTAAAAAAAGGCTCCATAGGTGATCTTTGCAATTAGAGACCAGTAAGCCTAAATTCAGTAACATTTAAATATACTGAAACTATGGTCAAGAACAGAACTGTCAGACACATAAATGAACATGATATGTTGGGCAAGGGTCAATACAGCTTTTGTAAAGGGAAAACATACCTCATCAATCTGCTAGATTCCTCTGAGGAGATCAATAAACATGTGATCCAGTGGATATAGTGTAATTATACTTTCAGAAAGCTTTGACGAGGTCTGTCATAGAATCATAGAATCATAGGACTGGAAGGGACCTTGAGAGGTCATCGAGTCCAGCCCCCCGCCCTCAAGGCAGGATCAAGCTCCACCTACACCATCCCTGACAAATGTCTATCTAACCTGTTCTTAAATATCTCCAGAGAGGGAGATTCCACCACCTCCCTTGGCAATTTATTCCAATATTTGACCACCCTGACAGTTAGGAATTTTTTCCTAATGTCCAATCTAAACCTCCCCTGCTGCACTTTAAGCCCATTACTCCATGTCCTGTCCTCAGAAACCAAGAGGAACAAATTTTCACCTTCCTCCTTGTGACACCCTTTTAGATATTTGAAAACCACTATCATGTCCCCCCTTAATCTTCTTTTTTCCAAACTAAACAAGCCCAGTTCATGAAGCCTGGCTTCATAGGCTTCTCTAGACCTTTAATCATTCTTGTCACTCTTCTCTGTACCCTTTCCAATTTCTCCACATCTTTCTTGAAATGTGGCGCATCAAAGACTCTTAGGTGAGTAAGCTGTCTTAGGATAAAAGAGAAGGGCTCTCCTAAGTTCTCTGTAAGCTACATGACTGCATGGCCACACAGTAGCCTATTAAGTGCTGTACAGACACTCAGGGAACCCAGTCCCAGTGGACCTGTTGTGACTAGAGAAGAGGGACCAGTTAGGGGTATAAGAGTTTAACCGGTGAACCAAATAACTGATAAGCTTCAGCTTATTGGTTTCTGTTATGGTTAAACCCTTCTGCCCTGCAGATGTGGGCTGGCTCCTAGCGCACGTTGGCTCCCAGCCAGCGACTGCACTCCTGGAGAGCCACTGTAGGATCTTATACTGCAGAGCCTGCAGTGCGGGGCTGCATCTGGCTCCCTGGGAGTGGCACAGGCAGAGCCAGCCAGTGCGTGCTTGGAGCTGGCTTATATGCACTGGCTCCTGGTTGCCAGCTCCGCTCCCAGGGAGTTGGCTGTGCTGTGGGCTCTGCAGTATAAACCTTATATTGCAGAGCCCATAGTGCAGGGCAGCAGGCGGCTCCCTGGGAGCTGCAGGGACACCCTTCCACCACCGGTCCCTCGCTTGTCCCAGCTGGCCAAAACCAGTTGACCATGTAACCACTAGGATATTTAATGATTACACGGTTACTTCTCTAAACCCTTTTTAACATCCATAGCACCAGTCCTCTGGCCTGAACCTAGCCTGGCTCCCAACCTGCCATGGCCAGCACATAGGCACCATTCTCCCAATCCAAACCTGAGCTGGATCCTCCATGGCCAGGGGACAGGCTCCTTCTCTCCAGCCCAAACCTAGCCTGGCCTCTGACTTGCCACAGCTAGGAGACAGGTGCCCGTGCCCAGTCCTGAACCCAGGCCTGGCTTGGACGTGGTGTGCCAGAAGAAAGATGGCTATCCTGCAGCCCAAGCTTTGGAGCTGCTGTGGCAGGGAGAGGCACCCTTCTCTGGAATAAATTGCCTAGGGAGGTTGTGGAATCTCCATCTCTGGAGACAGGGGCGGCCCTAGACTAGCTGCCAGCAACTGGCGCCCTAGGCGAACCATGCAATCGGTGCCCCCACCTCCAAATCCCTCAATGATATTGCGCCACCATTTGGTGTCCCATTTAACTTGGTGCCCTAGGAGACCGCCTCGTTCACCTATATGGATGGGCTGTCTAGAGGTATTGAAGAACAGGTTAGATAGACATCTATCAGGGATGGTCTAGACCAGTGTTTCTGAAAGTGTACCATGAAAATACTTTCAGAAACACTTTAATTGGCCACCCTGGTTTGTTTATGTACCGGCACTGTGGCCATGGAGCCTCATGGCTCCCATTGGCTCCGTTTCGTCCTTTGCAGCCAAGGGGAGCAGCTTAGCTGTTACTCTTCAAGTAACAATGCTTGGAGCCATTGTAGATAGTTTTCTGAAACTATCACCTCAATTGTGTAGCAGCTGTCATAAAAAAACTAATAGAA